CTCTTTTTATAATTTTTTTTTTTAAGATTTTATTGGGGAATGGGGGAGGGAAACAGTATTGGGGAATCGGGGAAGGGGAACAGACAAGCTGCTTTTCTTTTGTTCTTCAGTCTAGTTGTGGAGGACATCGCTTCACCGGCCCATGGTAGTATTATCATTGCGCTCTTCCCGGGTGAGGCAGTCGCTCACCGGCCATTGGACAGCCACTCATGGCGGCTCACGGTAGCCCACGAAAGCTCATGCCAGCTGCCAGCCAGCCCAGCTGCAGCCTACACCATCGCCGGCGACTCACGGCATCCCAGCTCCAGGTCGAGCTGTTGTTCACCATCTTAGCTGTAGAGGGCACAGCATCACTGGCCCTCATGGGGGATCCAAACTGGGGCCCTGCTGCTCAGAGCTGGCATCCCAAGCCAACTCCTAACCTATGCGCCACTCGGCTGGCCCTTATAATATTTAATAATGGGAATCAAAATACCTATTTTAAGGGCCGGCTGAGTGGCTCAGTTGGTTAAGAGCTCTCTCAAGAGTTTGAGCTCTGAGCAACAGCGGTTCGAGTCAGCCCGAGCTGAGCAGCCATGAGCTGCCAACAGGTGGCGGGATGGCTCAGCTAAAAAAAAAACTAAAAAAAAAACCAAAACCTATTTTACAGATGAAGACACAGAGATGCATGGAATACTAAAAGCACATAGTTAGCAAGTGACAGAACCTGGGGTCTGATACCAAAACCCCAACTGTTCTCCACCCACATCACACCAGTAACTCCAGGAATCCTTCATTTCTCGGGGGGTACCATGGGACTCTGTCCTGCCAAGGCTGTTTTCCTGAAGGTAACAGTAAATGAAAGGAGGGGCTGGCTGTGGAGCACTCTCTCTGAGCAATGCAGCAATTTGTTTTAGAAGAGGAAATGATACAATAGCTACGTCTTCAAACAGAAGGCTTGTGCTGGAAAACAAAGCAATTAAGAATACAGGATTCATTCCACAAATATTTACTGAGTACCTACTATATGCCAGGCACGTTTCTAGGAGGAGGGAAGACAATGGTTAAGCTAGCTTCCTACCTCATATCGGGTACAATTTTGTGAACCAACCACACCTTCTGCAACCATCCTTGATATTAAGACAGTAGTTCTTTTGGTTGGCCATCATTCCCAGTGAAGGTTTGATTAAAAACATGAAGCCAAATCTGGCAAAGAAAATCTGACTTCAGTAGGTCTGAAAAGAGGTACTGGGATCTGTATTTATTTTGAAGCTCCACCAGTGTTTCTGACGTACAGTCAACTGAGAGATCTAGGATGCAAAAAGAGTGCTTAATCTATTGCCATTTTTTTAACATATTTGTCTAGGTTAACGTGTTTGCTTCTTTACGTGTACTTAGTTTTATCACAGGACCATGTACAAATTTAAAATTTGCCCTCTTTGTGTGTGTATTTGTCTTTCGTAAGTAGTAAAAAGGTAATTAACTCAAGTGGATTCCCTTAAAAGGTAGGGAATTCTGAGGTAAAAAGGTTGGCCTCCTGTGGAAATGTGGACATCTTAACCAGAGCAGAATGTAGAAAAATACCGCAAGCCACATGTCATGGTTAAGTATACGTATATCCTATTCTCGTGCAAACCACATGTGAATGTAAACAGATCAATCATATTAGTATGAGCTATAGTTTAATATTAATCAGATGACGCTGTACACTTGAGAATTATGTAAGAGTCTTGTCTCCTGCGTATATAAGTCAGCTGCAGTAAATTCAAGCAAAAAGATACCCTGGGAGAATGCTCCCACTTATAAGAAGGCAGAAAGAAGCCTTTTGGAATCCTTTTAGCCAACCACCTCATTCTGAGGCAGACCAGACTGAAACGTTCTGAGCAACATAATGGATTCCATGACTAAGAGGAGCTTCTGTTTACCTTCTCCACCTGATTCACGTGTCCCCCTTTGTTCTGACTATCAGGAGCTCCAAACCAAATACAGGGCCTACAACAAGCAACTCTACAGGGTTCTTTTATGTACAACCATGCTGTATCTTCATCTTATTTGTCCTCATTTCCTCAGATAGTCATTTAATAGAGTGTTTTTTAAGAGCAGTTTTAGGTTCATAACAAAATTAAGAAGAAGGTACAGAGTGCATATATGCGTGCACGCACACACACACACACACACCCTGTCCCCACATACACACAGCCTGCACCACCTATCAAAATCCCACAGCACAGTACATTTGTTACAACTGGTGAACCTACATGGACACACCACCATCACCCAAAGTCCACTGTTTACATCAGGGTTCACTTTTGGCGTTGTATATTCTATGGATTTGGACAATTGTATAATGACATGTACCCACCATTACAATGTCATATAGAGTAGTTTCACTGCCCTAAAATTCTTCGGTGCTCCGCCTACTCATTCCTCCCTTATTCTTAACCCCTGGCAACTATGGATCTGTTTATTGTCTCCCTAGTTTTGCCTTTAATAGAATGTTATATAGTTGGAATCATACAGTATGTAACCTTTTCAGAATGCCTTATTTCATGTTACTAATATGCAGTTAAGATGCTTTCATGTCTTTTCATGGCTTGAGAGTTCATTTCTTTTTAGCGCTGAGTAATACTCCATTGTCTGGATGTAACACAATGTTTTTATCCATTTACTTACTGAAGGACATCTTTCTTGCTTGCTTCTAAGTTTTAGCAATTATGAATAAAGTGGATATAAACACTTGTGTGCAGTTTTCTGTCAGGATATGTTTTAATTCATTTGGGGAAATGTATACTTATTTCTTTATCCAACATGTAAACCCCTTCGGATTCTTATTGAAATGAGCTAGGATTCACAAAATTCTGATTCTTTATTTCATGGCTAACCCATGTGGAGAGTAGCACTTTGATTTTTAGGAAGCAAATAATGTGATGAGAAAAGGAGCATTACACCAAGTTCAAACTCAAGCTGAGATAAAAATATTTTCCAGCTCTTTTCATTATGAAACACACACTCCCAGAAGCTCATAACAAAAGTGATCTCACTGTTACCAACAGAATAATGTGTTTTCTACACAATAAAAAAGAACTTAAGGTGCTCAAAATAATTATACTCTCTCGTAATGTAAAATGCCAAATGTTTATATATATATATATATATATATATATATATATATATTAGGAAATATGTCAGCACCGATTTCAAGGAAAACCCCATTTCCTCTCTTAAACCTATGAGAATATTAAAATATAGAGCAGCTTATAAAGTTAGGCATATGTGATATGAAATAACTGCATATATATAAGGAAGTTATTTACTTTTGCCATAGTTAACCCATGACTACATTAATTTTACATGCTAACTTCAGTCCTGCTTCATCTTATTTTCCTTATTATCTCTTTTCCCCTTAGATCTTACACAAATTTATTTTATCTGCCTCTGTAGGTATCTGGGTTATCTTCCTTAAATCTTTGTTGGGGCAAGGCAGAGCAAAAATTATTAAAGAATAAATCCAGAAATCAAGGTAGTTCAAACCTCATAAGCTCTCTAAAGACAGTTTATATGTTCTTTTTCTCTTTTGTATGGACTAAAATTCTCCTTAGGAAAACCTATTTTTAATTTTTTTTGTTTGTGAATTTCTTATATGCCCATAGTTAAAAGTGATAACATCACCGGTAATCTAATTTCAAACTTGGAAATTCCAGTATCATTTGACTAAAAATTATTCTCTATGGCAGATATAACACTTTGCCTTAAGAGCTCTTTAATGGCCTCTTGAACCTTGGGGTCTCTTTTACATACTTGTCTATGTTTTAATAATTGTAAGAATAATGCTTCATAAGAATTATGAGAATAATGCATAAAACTTGGAAAATTAAGAAAAGAATAAAGAACAAAATTAGAAGAACCTATACAACAAATTCACTCAAAGAAATTACAGTTCACTTTTCACTGTATCTTACTAATCTTCCTCATGCTACAATTCACTCATATAAATAATATGTGGCTTAATGTTGATGCCAGCGTCTGGTTTTACCTAATTTTCCTCTGCCCTGACAGAGGCCAGTTTTCCCTAAACAATCCAACATACATAACCTCCTTCTTTTTCATTTGCACACACATTCTCACATATACAGTCCCTGTTTCTACCTGGATATGGTCCAATAAAAACAGGGTATATTTAATGAGCATTATCGTCAGTTCCTATCATGTCTTTTACAGTTGTTCATGTCTTTACTTATCTATATGCGTAAACTCACCTAACTTGTCAACATGTTACCTTCTTTTGCTTTACTTATAAGTCAGTCTTCTATATATTCCTATAGAAAAGGCCTGTTTTTAACCCCTGTGACATCAAAATAGGTTTTCTCCAAATCTTACTCAAAAACTTCATTTTAAAACACATATACCTTCTTCCCCAAATTAACTGATCTACAACCATAAGATTAATCTATAAAAAAATATGCCCTTTTGAGCAGATGTCTGCCCCTCTAGACATGGAGACCCTAAGTCTTCCATCTCACTCTTGGTCTATGAATACTTCATTCAGGATGCCATGAACAATAACTGATGCCTGAAACTAAACGGAAATATATTCCTGTTATGCAATGATAAATTTCAGTTCAGCAAGAAAGTAGTTACATCTGGTTCTTATGAGGTATAATTGTTTTGAGATTTAAACTAGCCCCATACTTCTTAGAAAGATTGCTCCATTTTGGATCTCTTCCACATCTATCTACTTAGAGTGAAATAACTGAAGTAGGCGAATGCAAAAACACTTTCAGGTACTTTTTACAGAGATTAAGTAGAACGTCACCTGGCACATGTGACCAAAAATTATTATTTCTGCCACGAAGCACTAATAAAAAGAGAGGAGATGCAATATTCTGTCCTCGCTAAAAAAAAAATCAGAGGTATATCGAATCATTCCTAGCAGAAACATCAACCACCATGAAATAACATGTAAAAGATATTCCTTCCCAGTCTCAAGTTACTGCTTAGAGCAAACCTCTTTGTGCCGTTACCTTGCAATTCTGAATCATTCGCCTTTGGACTGCTCCGTGCTCGCCGCTCGGTTTTCTTAATTCCCGGCCCGCCGCCGCTGCCGCCTCCCCCGCCGCCGCTGCCGCCTCCGCTGTGGCCTTTCCCGTAACCATTGTACACGGTTGTGCAGTTGCTTTTGTAGATAGAAGAGGGAGGGCTATTGAGGCGATTCTGGCGGTCAATCTGGCGGTCTTTCAGTTTTTTGTGTGGAGGCTTGCTGTACTGGTCTTCTCGGGTGATGTAGCTTGACATTCCGTAGAGTGGTATAATTTCTAAAATGGATGAATATGACAGATACAAGGTGTCTACATTTTCAATAACAAATTGTTAATGGTTAAATGACCTGACTCCCAAAGAAAGAAGTTTACAATATTACTAAATACAGTATAAAAATATTTCAAAGGAAATGATAAACATGTTATACATGCTTAAAAAATTCCCATTCGTTTCTAATCAAGGAGCAATTACTCATTAAAAACCATATTGTGTGTTCAGGAATGTTCTCAAAATTATGGAGACTACTGAAGAAGACAAGGTGACTGTCCACAAAGAGCTCCTATTCTGGTTGAACTTATAAATAAATGTGATTCAGTAGTTGCAGTACCCAAAAAGTCAGAACAAACAAAACACCCCCTTAAATGTATACTTAGAATCAAGGTACTTAAAAGTGTACTTATCCTGGTAGACAGAATAGCATTTCTATTGGAAAGTATATAGCAACCAGAATATAAGGAGTTACTTGTGGCATCTAAAAGAGCCAACATTTGAACAAAACTTACTAAAGCGATGAGATGACAAATTCCCATTGAAAATAATCAAAGCTCACAGAAAGAGGGATGATATTCAAATAGAAACTGTAGGGGTAAATAGAAGCCATCTCTCAACCCGGTGCCGTACATAATAAGGTGTGGTCTCAAACCTCTATGTTGGAGTAATCAGGAGGCGAGGCAAACTAACAGAATGTCAGCTGGCTTCACTATACATATTTTTAAGTGACTCAAAAGAAAATGGGAGTCTGCAAAATAATCTTATGATCTTAGAGGGGAAAATTTATTTTAAATTTTAAATCAATTAAAAATAATATTCGGACATTAATAAAAATTCAGTACATAAGACTGAATGTCTATAAGACATTACATGTCTATAAGAAAAAAGGGCCCCACGTGCATCAGGTGACCATATAAATTACCACCCAAATGTGAACACTTCTGAGAGTGAAAAGGGGGGAACTCTCAATTGTTTCTCTGGACAAGAGACCTCAACCAGGGCTGTCCTAGGCATACCAGGAATATATGGTCACTGTAGGTATCTTAACAACTGATGTTTCCATTATTCAATGGTAAAGATCCACTTTTTTTTTCTTTGTATTCGCATAGCTTAAGGAAGGTGTTTAAAAAGCAATTCTTCACAATATAAGCAATTTGTACCAGAGAATATGAAAAACGAAATACAATCCTATTCAAGGAGCATAAGCACAAATAGATTACGTTCAAATACACAGAAAAAAATGGTTAATATTTTAAATATCACAATGCATTACACTTGAGATTTAAAATATTCACTATGGGCACTAATACAATAATCTTTTAAAACGTCAAATTTTTAAGCTCCTATGATTTGGGAAACTAAATGTTTAAATTTCTTTTAGGCATGCTCACTGAAAACTAAGATAAGAATATGTACGTGGCTTTTTTAAATGAAAGCAAAGGGATTTTGTTTTACTGCTTTCTTAATCTGAAATCAATGAAGGCACTGTTATTTGTACATTATTGCTCTGTGTTAATTTAATGAAATTAAACCAAAATACCTGATGAAATAAAGACACAAAATTTATTTTGCTTAATTCTAATTATTTAAATCATACTGCTGTCTAAAATTGCAAAGTATACCATTTACAAAATAGTAAGTATGGCATCCTACTATCAAACTGCTTTACCCTACTAACCAGTCACTCTTTATCAAGAAATGAATTGGCAGCCAAGGCTTTTCACAATGTCATTAAGCTCAGACCCAACCAGAAAACCATAACAAATGTTCAAATATTTAATGTATATTGTGTCTAAGCACTGAATACTTTTTAAAAAAATTAGTTAATTAACTTAATTTTTTTCAGTTTTTACCCAAATGTCTTCATGGAATATGCCTACTTATGTGATGTTTTTGGGTGTTACATCACTAGGTAACAAGATTATATTAATAGGAAGTTATTGATGACTTCATGAAATCAAAGTATCAATTTCATCTTTTTCTATCGTCTCTTCATACCCCATTATAATAGCACCTGATTCTTTTGAATTATACTAAATTTCTTTCAAACTATTAAAAATAATAACCAAATTCTATCCCTAAGTTACAACAGGCTATTTCACTTAAAATATCCATCTCAAATAGTTCTCTTGTTAATGAGAAAAAAATTACAAAGTGAGATGAACATACAGGAAAACATATATATGTATAATGGTTAAGAGAAAGTGAGGCGATAACTTGCTCCAAAACTTAGACTCAAAAGAAAATGATTTTGCAAAGTCCTAAACGTTATTTTTACCCTCACTTATCTGGTTTCTTAGTATCCATTTTGATAAGAAAAGGGCTTTAGACTAAACCAACAACAAGGTAAAAATTTTAAAAACATGATGTCGGTATCTCTGTGACTCTTTCATTTCAAGGTAAGTATTTGCCTAACAAACAGTGAAATTGTGGCTGTACTAATGGCTATTCTTAAACTAAAAATAGGGAGGACTACATCAACAGCGAGGGGATTCTGGCTTCTACCAAGATTACAACATCATGGAAACCCAAAGATTACTAAGACCTAACAGTCTTCTATCACTGGAAATGGTCCACAAAACCCTTTTTCAATTTCCCTTCTATTGCTAGAGTATACGATGTCTAAGAAACAATGTGCTACAGTTCTGCTTCCGGCCACTCTCACATAAAAATATGTTAACAGGACATGGGAACATATGATAGATCACTGCTTCTTTTTACAAATAAGTGGCTATCCCACTCCCTGCTCTTTGTGGGGTGGGATAGGGGCAGAATTTAGAAAAATATAAAGAAAGAAAGATCTGCAACCCACAAAGTAATTTTTGCAAGCTACAAATCAGGACAAAGTAAGCTAGGAATTTCCCATGAGCTTCATACATCAGACAGACCCTCTTCTACCATGCTGCAGAAACAAAGGGCTCTCGGACTCTCTTAAGCTACTTAAGTGCTGTAACCTCTTTCAACAGCTGCCAGGACCAGCAGTAACATACTCACCTTGCTCACTGTATAATGTAGGGGGAAGATGGTGCTGAGGGAAGAACTGAGGCGGCATGTCTCCAGGTCCAGTAACAGGTGGGTAGTAAGCCGTGTGTGAGTTATGAATAAAATGCGGGTGGTGAGTCAAGTACGGGGGTAGGTGATGGGTTGGAGACATGGCTGAGGGGTAGCTTGGGGGGTAACACTCAGGAGACTGGGGTGTGACCACCACACGGCGGACTCCAGTATTATCTTCAATCACCTAAAGAAAATAAAAAAAAAGAAAGAGTGTAGTGGGTATTATTAGCCAATATCTTGTGAGTATACACAGTATTTAATTACTTCCCCCTTATTTTTAAATTTCTCTCCTCCATTGGGAAAAAAAAAATTAGTGCATGTTGAATTCTGGTTCTCTAATTCAACCAGTTAAATGAGTTTTATAAGTACTAACACTTAACCATTAAAATTTACGAAACTTTCACAAACCACCTAATTCTGATAACACGAAACTTTTTGGAGGTATCAAGAGCTTGATAATAAATTTTGTTTATTTCAAAAAATTTTTACAGATGAAGTCTTCTTCCAGGACTTCAAAAACAATTAAAGATGTCATTCAAAACAAGTGAATTTAATGTGTGCTTAGTGTGATTTTAGGAATGACTTCAAATATAACTAACAGTTCAGTGATTTTTCCAGCAAGAAGAGATTTCTGGGTCACCTAAGTGCTTTTTACAGGGCTGAGCTTCCACATCTGCCTGATAACACTTGACCCCATTCCTACTTTAGCATGCACATTCCATCATCATGAAAACATTAACTTCAGATGCCATGAAAGTGCCAAAAAAGTCATTGAATCTGGGACCAAGGATATAAGTGAAATGAGGGGATTCCAGCCAATGAAAAACTTGAGCAATCCCAAATCAAGATGGATACCTTTGCTACCATCCTGATGCTGTAATGAGTGATGTGAAGGGAGACATTATGATATGATATGGGACCTGTTATAAGCAGAGTGGATGCCAACAAACACTCTATCCATAATTTCTTCAAAATGTTTTTTAATTCACCCAAGTAAGATAATTAACTGAAGCAGTACAAGATCAATATTTATTTGCCTCTGTGGCCAACTTAATGCTACCTGCTCTAAGAGCAAACAACTGTGTTGAGACACAAGGTTAAGAAACGAATAGAACAGATACCATAATCAAAAGGGAAGGCTGTGGGGTACAGAGAAGAGGAGCATGCACTGGCAGAATCAGGAGGGCTTCAGGGACCTCAAAGAATTGCTAGGGCTGGGGCAGTTGAGACAATGACCTCTGGATCAGGGCTCTGCAAGGAAGCGGCAACGAGGGCATAAGAGTAAACTTGGAAGCCAGGACCAGGCTGCCAGAGACCAGCTGGTCTAATCAAGTATTTAAGGCAATAAGGTACACACAAGGTATTTAGAAATTTTGTTTTTAAAAACAAACAAACAAAAAAACACTGAAAATTAAACTTATATGTTGAAATGCATTGCTCATTACACCTCAGGAGGCTGATTACAGAACACAATAAAATGACTTAATGCTATCTAAAACATTCTTAATGGTATGTAAAAAAAATGTATACTAAGCTTTGTTTCTTAAAATCTTGCTTGCTACATGATGGCATGTTTAGTCTGTACGTTAGTGTACAAGATAGATTTAGTTTGAATTAATAGGCATCAATGTTTGCATTAAGAAACTAAAAATATTAGTCATGTTTATTAATGAATCAATTAACATATCAGTATCAGAATTAACTACTATGTTAATAATTCATTAAAAAAGCAATATAGGGCCAGCCGAGTGGCGCATTGGTTAAGAGCTGGCTTGGGATGCCAGAGGGCCCCGGTTCGGATCCCACATATGAGGGCCAGTGACACTGCCCC